GCCTCCCAAGTAGCTGGGACCACAGGCGCCCGCCACAACGCCCGGCCATTTTTTGGTTGCAGCCGTCATTGTTGTTTGGCGGGTCTGGGCTGGGGATTCGAACCCGCCACCTTAGGTGTACGTGGCTGGCGCCTTAGCCGGTTGAGCTATAGGCGCCGAGCCCAAGTTTCTTATCTTTAAAGTGCCTTACCCCTTCTTAGGTTTTGTGCCTACTGTCTGTCCCCTGTGCCCATATTCTCAAGCCAGCTTCTTCCCAAGGATTGACTCACTGTATCCCCCTCTAGAATCACTAGGGTGAAGGGAAGTTACCCACCTATGGCAGGGGGCCTCAGAAAAGTTAGAACCTTGGGGTGGGTTCCCTTCAAGTAGGAATTTTGTTGAGTCTTTAACATCTATTTCGGGTCCAGTAAACCAGGTGCTAAAACATGGAATACAGCCACACATTCAGTGGTCCTTTTGCCCTCCTGGGAATCACCAACAAGCAGAGGTTGCTCTCTCACTGGCTATATATCAGCTAGAATCACCTGGGGCACTTCTACAGCCCTCCAAACCCCCATTCCTGGATCCCCAGTTGAATCAATTACTGGGAGTGGACCCTAGGTACCAATAATTTTTTTTTTTTGCAGTTTTTGGCTGGGGCTGGGTTTGAACTCGTCACCCCCGGCATATGGGGCCACCACCCTACTCCTTTGAGCCACAGCACCGCCCGGCACCAATAATTTTTTTAAATTCTCCAAATCATTCTCTGAACAGTCTGGGTTGAGACAGGCCCGTTTAGGAACTTAGAGAAGGTACTCCAGGCTTCTGTGTGAATGGAGATCTCATCCAGGATAAGAGTTAAGTCATGAATTCAGGTAAGGGAGAGCACAGAAGTTGTGACAATAAAAAGAATGAACAAAGGCTAGGACATTGCAGTGTTGTCAAAGAGAAAGTGGTCATAGAAATGAGAAACAGGACAATCTGGGTGTGTATCAGAGATAGAATAAGAATCAAGGATAAGTTTTGGTTTTCATCTCAAACACCTAGGGGGATAATGGAATTTTTGCAGTGATGAGGCACCCTGGCAAGCGTAGGGGTAAGGTAGAAGAAAAGTGAATTAAGTTTTTGGCCATGTTCACTTAAAACACCTTAGACATCCATGCTGGGTGCAGTGGCTCACACCTATAATACTAGTACTATAGTATTGGGAGGCCAAGCCATAAGGATTGCCTGAGCTCAGGAGTTAGAGACCAGCCTGAGCAAGAGTTAGACCCCTGTCTCTAAAAATTGCTGGGCATTAGGGTGGGCAGCTACTCTGGAGGTTGACACAAGAGAATGATGACTTGAGCCCAAGAGTTTGAGGTTACTGTGAGCTAGGACACCATTGCTCTTTACCCAAGGCAACAAAGTGAGACTCTATCTCAAAAAAAAGAGAATGTCTTAGGCATCCAAGTGATGTTACTGGCACATAGGATTTGATCTGAAGAGGGAAATCTGCTTGAGCTGAGCCATGGATCTGAAGCAGGTGGGTGTGAACAAAGCAGGCCAGTGATCAGGACTGAGCTCCAGATATCACTAATCGATCTGGAAGTTGAGACAGAACCAGCAAAGGAGCTGACCAAGAGTGGGAAGAAAAAGAGAGTGCGGCCCCTGAGAGTCAAGGGAAGCAAGTATCAAACCATGCTGAGGTGAGAATAGAAAATGGAACACCAGATTCCATTCAGCAGTACACAGATCCCTGAAGACCCAACCAGGGAAGTTTCCTGGAGGGAGAGACAAGCCTGTCTGCAGTGGGTAGAGGAAAGGGTGAAGGCAAAAATAGTGGAAGTAGGCGGGCAGGGTGGCTCACACCTGTAATCCCAGCACTCTGGGAGGCCAAAATGGGCAGGTTGCTTGAGCTCAGGAGTTTAAGACCAGCCTGAGCAAAAGCAAGATCCTGTCTCTAAAAATTAGCTAGCCGGGCGTTGTGGTGGGCGCTTGTAGTCCCAGCTACTTGGGAGGCTGAGGCAGAAGAATCACCTAAGCCCAGGAGTTGGAGGTTGCTGGAGCTACTCCATTGCACTCTACCGAGGGCGAAAAAGTGAAACTCTGTCTCTACAAAAAAAATAAATAAATAAAAATTAGCTAACCAGGGCGGGTTAGCTGTGGCAGGTGCCTGTAGTCCCAACTACTTGGGAGGCTGAGGGAAGAGAATCACTTGAGCATAAGAGTTTGAGGTTGCTGTGAGCTATGATGCCATGGCATTTAATCCCAGGGCAACTAAGTGAGACTCTTGTCTCCAAAACAAAGAGTGTATGTAGACTAGTGTTTTTTTCTAGGGAAGTAGAAGACATAACAGTGGGGGCCCAGGCACAGTGGCTCACACCTATAATCCTAGCACTCTGGGAGGCCAAGGTGGGTGGATTGCCTGAGCTCACAGGTTTGAGACCAGGCTGAGGAAGAGCCAGACCCCATCTCCAAAAATAGCTGGGCATTGTGGTAGGTGCCTGTAGTCCCAGCTATTTGGGAGGCTGAGGCAAGAGAATCGCTTGAGCCCAAGAGTTTGAGGTTGCTGTGAGCTATAACACTAGGGCACT